ATTATTATTATTATTATTATTATTCAGAGCCAGGTCTCACCCTAAAGTTGATTTTTGGGACTTTGGGCTCCTGGTCGGCTTGTTCAGGTACTTTTGCCTCCTGCGATGCCACGTCAGAGCTCTCCTCTCCTGCAGACAGCGGCTCCGGCGCTGAAGGCTCCTCCTGGCTCTCCTCCTCTTTGCTGGATCCCGACGCCTCATTAGAAGGAAAACCTGCTGGTTTCTCCCAAATGGACTCTGAAAAGGTGAGGAGGAACAAACAGGGTTACTAACTCTGTAAAACAACACAGCATGTCAATAATCACAGAAACACCTGGCACCTCCAGTTTCTGTGTTGTAGTAGTATGTGTAACCATCAGGACTGACCGCTTCCATCCAAGAAGAACCTGAGGAACTCTACAGAAAAATAAATAAATAAATAAACACAATCAGTGCAACATAGTTAAGCACAATAAATTAAACTGAAACCGTAAATAATATTTTACCTCCGGCTGTTCAAACTGTGCAGGGGCTGGACTTTCACCCTGGAAAYCTGCAGGTTTTTCCCACTGAGACTCTGTCATTAAACACAAATATTCAGATGTGTGCTGTGTTAAAGGAGTCCTCACACATACAGGTACACTCACCTCCAGTCACTGTGTTGTAGTAGTACGTGTGTCCATCGTCTGTCAGGCCTTCCACCCAAACCTGTGCTGCTGCCGGCTCTCTGGACTTCCTGCTTGCTTTCTCTGCTTTCTTTTTGGACTTTTTGGGCTGAGTTCTCACTTGAGTTCGAGGTTGTGGCTGTGGCTGTAGTTGTGGCTGTGGTTGTGGGGTTGCTCTGACAGGAGAGCTTGATCCTAACACACACACACACAAAAATTTTTTTAAAAAATCAAAAAAAAAAAAAAAAAACCACTATTTGAATGCAATCAGATCAAAAAGCCTCCATCTTGTCATTTCTTTGTATCCTACCATCTGCTTCCCTTCCCATCCTCTTCAGATCCTCCTCATAGGCCTTCAGCGCTGCCTCCTCCATCGCCGCAAACTGTTTTGACATGCGCTCCTCCTGCTTCGCCTTTTGAACGCTCTTCTTCTTGATCTGCAGAGGGAAAGATAAAGTGAGACGAGTGGCAGCGACTGGGGGCCGATAAGAAGAGAGCTTCAGAGTCACTGGGGGTTGTGTATGGAGCTTATCTCTACCTGCCAGTCTTTAAAATGATGCCAAAAGAGACGCGATGTTATCATTTGCTGTGGCCTGTGAGGGGGCTCACATGATGATTAGTGATGTCACATTTTTTAAATTAAAGTTGCTCTGTGTGGTTTCTGAATTATCCAGCATTCTGATCAGTAAACAAGGGATCATTACCACATGTGACCAATGTGATACAGTCTGCTATGACTTTTGGTAACGGTACACCATACAGAGCAGAAAGTATATACACTCACCGGCCACTTTATTAGGTACACCTGTCCAACTGCTCGTTAACACTTAATTTCTAATCAGCCAATCACATGGCGGCAACTCAGTGCATTTAGGCATGTAGACATGGTCAAGACAATCTCCTGTAGTTCAAACCGAGCATCAGTATGGGGAAGAAAGGTGATTTGAGTGCCTTTGAACGTGGATCTACTGGGATTTTCACACACAACCATCTCTAGGGTTTACAGAGAAT